AACCCTTTTCGTAACTCATTTCGATAATCCAATCGCCGTTTCCAATTTTGTTTCCAATTTCATCATTTAATTAAGTCATTAATTTGTAATTGATATTATGACTTAATGGGTGTCCTAATACTGTTAGAACTTATTGTAACACCCCATATTAGTAATCGGAACATTTCTAGAATCAACCATATCGGGTTACGGTAACTCAATCGGGTGCGACCAAAAGCACCGTATAACGTTGATATCGGGTAGAATTCCACCGTGTCCAAATCCCGAGCACTATTTAAAGTGACCTAAGCTTCCATTTGAAGCTTTTGCTTCATCTCACTAATCTCTCTAACCTCTCTCCTCAACCAAAGAATCAAGGTCCAAAACATTGAATTAAGGCTCCAAATCTTTGAGGTAACATCCCTAACTTGTTGTATAACCTCTTAGGCCATCAAATTCGTGTTTAATCTATCATTTTGGACCTGGAACATGTGTTTACGGCCAAGGAGCATGCTTGGGCTGTAAACACTTAATAAATGGGTTTTTGAGCAATTTAACCCCTCCAAACCAACATTGGGACTTAGATCCGACTATATGGCTTACCAATTCGGACTTAGAACACATTAAACATGGTTTTTGAGGAGTAAACATGAGTTTACGGCCCAAGAGTAAACATGAGTTTACTGCCCAAGAACAAGCTTGGGTCGTAAACACCTTATACATGGGGAGTAAACTCATTTAAACATGTTTAAAAGCCATATAACTCCACCAATAGCCTTGGAATAAATCCTAGAATCATCTAAAAATAGTTTGGGGACCTTAAACATGTCAAACACCCTCCAAATGAGAGTTTATGGCCATAACACCCCAAGGACAAGTTCCTGGGCCGTAAACTCCTCTTTATGTGTCAAATGATGCCCAAAACTCATACCAAGGCTTGGAAAAATAGTTGGAATCACATGTGATTGTCCTAACCTCACAAAATAAATTATGGTTTGAGCTTGGGGGAGTTTACGTCCATAAACTCCATGTTTACTTTCATGAACTCCCATAAATGATATTCATGCAAGTGCAATCCATCCCAAGGCTTTAGAAAAATCCATTCCAACATTTACCATGTGCATTTAAGCCATTTAGCACCCCAAAACACCCAATCATGAGTTCACGGCCGTGAACTCATGTATGTATGGGGTATGTGGCCGAAAACTCCCTAAGGAGTTTACTCTTGAAGAGTAAACTCACTTCCCAAGTCCCACGCATCATTACACGTCCGTAAGTGTCACCCGGGTCACTCCAAACACTTGTTTTGAAGTGTTTTCGCTCATTGGAGTGTATTATCATATCTAATTAGTGGTTTAAAGTCTAATTAGATACCTTTGGATACCATCTCATATTACATAGGAACCTCGCGTGTTAACAAGTCCTGAACCATCGTTTAGTGTCCGAAACAGTTGCGCCTTCTCATCTGGTAAGTTCATACCCCTACCCTTTTTCACTGTTTTTCACTGTTTTCAGGGGGGAATACAAGCAAAGTACAATGGATAATTGTACATAAAAACTTGTTTTGCATGTTTGTGTTTCATAATTCATAATATTTTGACACTGATAATCATAACAGATAACCGTTTGAAACTTGCAGGATAATCATATACATTATTTGTGAAATTAATTATAAGTTGTTATGTTTATTATTTAACAAATGGTTTTCCACATTTTTATCAGTTAAAAGCATGACATTTAAACCTTTACATAAGATTTTGTACACTATTTTGTCCTCGGTAACACTCCACAGAGATACGCGAGTAAAGGATTATTGTATTATTACAAGTAAATTTGTTAGTCCTATATAGTTGGAGACACGTCCTCGGTGAACACTCTACAGAGATACGCGAGTGGAGGACCGCAACTATAACCAGAATCTCTTAGATAGGGAGCGTGACTTGAGTGTATAGATCTATACGGGGCTTACTACCCCACACCTGGCTGCTAGCTACAGCCGAACCGAAATGGTTCAAGGGTGACGAAAGTCATAAGGTGATGTGGACTACTTATTGCCATATTTAGTCTTATTGTATGGTTATGGGACTCGCAATTAGGATAACAGAGATTTACTTAATAGTAATAATGAATAAAGTAATTAATTTACTTTGTAAATATTAGTTTTATATACGTGTTAAAACTAATACATTTCACAAGATAACTAGGTTTTCAGTATACATCTTCACATTGGTAACCAACATTCAGGAAAATATGGGATTTTCCTGGGGAAACATTGTACATAACTAGAAAAGTGTAACAAATCGAATAACTTTACATTCACAAGAGTAAACATATTTTCAGTGTACAACCTTACATTACATTTTGGGAATTCAATAACCAACCTTTTTAAGAAAATATGGGATTTTCTTGGTGTGTGTAACATTTTCAGTAACGGACAGGAAACTTGTACATTTTTCACAAAAGAAAACCGCTTATGAACTCACCAGCTTTATGCTGATTTTCAAACCGCTTGTATTCTCAGCTCAGCGTTAGATAGGTACCCGAAGATCCTTTTGTTCGAAGACGGAGTGCTCAGAAGACCCGTTTCATTTTATTCATATATACTATGTATCACTTGTATAACTTTGCTTTTGAAACAAATGTAAACTTTTCTATATGTAATGTAATGGTTGTTTTACTTTACTTACTATGTGCATTGGATTTGATACACAACGTGGAGTCAACCCCGGAAATGTTTCCGCCTTCAGTTTTCGGGGTGTGACATACACAGGGTGTCATAATTTCACAAAATTATCTGCAGTCATTCAACTACTCAACTTGAAGAGTAAGTATGGAGTATCAGATAAGTGCTTCACAGAATTATTAGTTTTGATCAAAAATATGTTACCAGAAGGAAACAAAATGTACAATAGTACATACGAGGCGAAAAAAGCATTCAGGGTAATGGGTTCAGGGTATACTAAGATACATGCATGTGTCAACAATTGTATACTTTACAGAAACGAATACACAGACTTGGTAGCATGTCCTACTTGTGGTAAATCAAGATGGAAGGTTGATGAACAAAAAAATAAAATTTACAACAATATTCCTGCAAAAGTTTTGTGGTACTTTCCAATTATTTCGTGCTTAAAGCGTCTTTTTCATTCTAAGACTAATGCAAAAGATTTAACATGCCACGCAACAGAAAGAAAGGTGGATATTGGCGTTTTAAGTCACCCAGCTGATTCACCAGCATGGGTTGCCATTGATGACAAATATCCTGATTTTGCTAGTGAACCAATAAATTTGCGGGTAGGCATTTCAGCTGACGGGGTCGATGTGAACGGAGGAAATAGGAATCATAATGTTTGGCCGGTTCTAACTGTCATTTACAACCTTCCACCATGGTTGTGTACGAAGAGAAAGTTCATCATGCTTTCATTATTGGTTTCGGGAACACTAGGAAACGATATTTATGTGTTCCTATCACCTTTTATTGATGATCTGCAATTATTATTTGATATTGGAGTTGAAACATACGATGCATATGCACAAGAGCACTGTAAACTACGTGCAGTTGTGTTATGGACTATTAATGATTATCCTACTCTAGGTACATTAAGTGGTTGCCCATACAGCGGTTTTCAAGGTTGTGTTGTGTGTGGCGAAGAAACACACTGCATTAGACTCCTTGAATCGAATAAGCAAAGTTATGATTGTAATAGAAGATTTCTACTGTATGATCACCCGTTCAGAAGACAAAAGAAAGCATTCAATGGACAACAAGAGTTCTTACCCTCTCCAAAACATATGAATGGGGAGGAAATATATAACAAGGTGAAATTTATAATTAATAAATGGGGAAAGGTTAATAAGAACAAGGAGGCAGAAATCCAATAATCTACAAGTGGAAAAGGTAGGAAGATTGATAAAAAAAGAGAGAAAATCACACCAAGTGGGTACTTCAGATGTGGGCCAGCAAAACAATACATATTGGAAGAAATTCAATATATGGTATAGACAACTAAGGTATTGGCCCGACAATTTGGTTCCACATTGTATAGATTTTATGCATGTGGAAAAGAACGTGGGCAAGAGTTTAATAGGAACTGTGTTGAACGTTCCCGGGAAGATGAAAGATGGTTATAAAGCTCGACTGGATTTGGTTCATTATGGTTTAAAACCAGAGTTGCATCCTCAGATAGAAGGTAACAACACAACACTTCCCGCAGCAGGTTGTACATTGATAAAAGAGAAAAAAGACAAATTCTGTGAGACTTTATACAACTTAAGGGTTCCTCAAGGGTATTGTTCTAATTTTTCTAGTTTGGTGAGTCTAAAGGATAGGAAGTTCATCAGACTAAAATCACATGACTATCACATTCTCATGCAACAATTTTTTCCCATAGCAATTTGATCTATTATGCATCCGTCCACCAGAGTTGCTATTACAAGGTTTTGTTTCTTTTTCAAATCAATATGTAGCAATGAAATCATAGTGGATGAGCTCGATAAGTTGTAAGAGGAGTTATGTGTAACATTATGTCTTCTTGAGAAACACTTTCCACCATCATTTTTTGATGTGATGATTCATTTAACTGTTCATCTAACTAGGGAAGTAAAATTATGCGGTCCATTATTCTGTAGATGGATGTACCCGTTTGAAAAGGTTTATGAAGGTTATTAAGGGGCACGTGCAAAACAAAAATAGACCAGAATGATGCATTGTAGAAGAGAATGTTGTAGAAGAGACAATTGAGTTTTTTAGTCAATTCGTTAAAAAGATGGATACTGTTGGTATTCCACCTGACAATCATAAAAAATGTGGAATTCATAAAGGTGTAGATAGTAGCTCTATTATGAACATTACTCCTCTATCAGCTGCTAAATCGGTAGAAGTTTCCTACAGAACTATTCAGTAAAGCACATTTCTTTGTATTGCAAAATACATCTGAAGTACTCCCGTATATCAAGTAAGGTTTTTTACATGTATGTTTTTTTTGTTATAATATTAACATTAACGTACTGACAGATAACATATGGAATTTTTGGAACATCTACACCCTACTAAACGAAAGGCACATCTAGAACAAGAGCATAGTAAAACATTTGGTCATTGGTTACGAAATGAGGTATATTCTTTTCAAATATGTTGTGTTGTTTGTTATTTTTTCTTGATTTCTTAAATTCATAATCTAATTACAATTCAGGTAGAGAGAGATAGAGAGAGAGAGAGAGAGAGAGAGTTAGGGGCCTATAGAGAAAGTATAACAGAGACAATAAGATGGATTTCACATGGACCCAATAAGAACATTATTAAATACGATGTTTATGCTATTAATGGATATACTTTTCGTACAAAAGCTCGTGAATGTAAAGTTTACCAAAACAGTGGGGTTAGTGTTGTTGCAACTAACACACACATCAGTAAAGAAGTTGTAACATATGCCAAAAACACTTATTATGGTGTTTTACAAGAATTCCAATTTTCATGTGTGGCTGGGTTGACAATAGAAATGGGGTAAAAAGGGATATATTGGGGTACACACTAGTTGAACTAAAAAGATTAGGCCATAAAGGTGATCCCTTCATATTGGCCTCACAAGCACAACAAGTATTTTACGTGACAGACCCACTTGATCAAAAAATGTCTATTATGTTCAAGACACCTCCTAAAAATTACAGAGATACATATGAAGATGTAGATGAAGAATTTAGTACTATTGTTCCTCATACTGATAACATATTGCCACGCATAGACACACCTGACTTGCAGAAGGAAAATTATTATTTTCTTACTGATTGTCGCGGTATTCTTATACGTACAACGCCTGTTTCTTAATGTCATGAATTACATTTGTAGCGATAATATTTTTCCTTCTTTTAACACTTAATGATCTTTATTTTTGTTT